CCAAAACCCCAAACCCAAAGCCCCAAACCCAAAACCCTAAGCCCCAAAACCCCAAACCCCAAACCCCAAACCCAAAACCCAAAAGCCTAAGCCCAAAACCCTAAGCTCGTGTTTGGGGATTCGGCTTTCGGAGCCTTCAGGCCTCGTGACAAACCCCCCGGAGCTCTCGGGGCAGCAGCTGCCGGGTCTGGTGTCACTCTTCTAAAAGAGAAGATTTAGGGTTTAGGGTTTAGGGTTTAGGATTTAGGGTTTAGGGTTTAGGGTGTAGGGTTTAGGGTGTAGGGTTTAGGGTTTAGGGTTTAGGGTTTCCGGGTTTCCGGGTTTCAAGTTTAGGGTTTCGGGTTTCAAGTTTAGGGTTTCGGGTTTTTTTGCCTCCTACATAGCAAGGTCGAGCTTGCAATGAGGGTTTCGGGTTTCGGTTTTAGAGTTAAACTCATGCTAGTAAACTCACGTTGATATTGTTAGTAAAGACCCCATTAGCCTTGACCTTAATGAATGCTAGTACAAACATTGATGTGCGGACGCAATACTAACATTTGTATCCAGGAGCTCCTCGTCCCTTCTACCAGACCCTATTAAAAGCCACGCGTCGAACCTAAAATCCTACGGATCCTCCATACACAAAGAGACTATGCGGGCTGTAAAGGAACAGTGTATGGAATACTGCTGCTAACATTCATAAACATCGTTGAGAGCCCTATAGTCCCAGAGCCTCCTTTTCCATACACCGCTTTTTGAACGGTCTCTCTGAAGTGCCCTAAACCGTAAACCCTAAAGCCTTTTGCACGGCCTTGCCAGATCTCGACCGGACTGAGAGCCCATAGCAGTGACTAAACCCCGAACCCCCAAAGTCGGATCGAAGATTTGCGGACTTTCAGAAAGACTTAGGGTTTTTTGCCTCCTATTTAGCAAGGACGTGCCCGCATTGCAGGGTGGTTAGGGTTTAGGACTTAGGGTCTCGGACATGTGGGGGTCGTTTACGGTCCGGCGACGTTTTCCCTACGTCTAGGCTTTCAACTTTGGTGGCCGTTTGTGAAGCTCAGGCTGACGTAGGTTTCTACGGCGCTTCCTGCTCAAAGATGCGCTCATGCGGGACCAAGTCGGGTTTTTCAGGGCTCCAACATCCCTTGATGCAGTCAAGGATTTCCATTGGACCTGCTATGAATTAGGGAATGTTCTTCAGCTAATGGGTTTCGGAGTCTCTGGGTTTCGGAGCTTGCGGCTTAGACAACCAAGAAGGAGAAAGCCTGCAGACAAAGAAACCCATGCGACAAAGCCCAATGCGAATCCGTTACGCGTTCCAATCTCAAGGCTCAAGAACCACAAGATAACCAACTTCCCGTGCACTCTGAAATGTCGCAGTGCCGCCTCAATGACTACTGTAATACCAACCAAGGCTTGGCCGGCTTGCCCAGTCTGAGTTACGACAGGTTAGACGCACCCTCACCCTGACCTGAAATCGACGCAGTCGGTCCCCTGTTATGTGCGGTTGCAAACCGGCACAAGCATACAAGCTTCCATGCAGCGACCCGAGTGCGGAGTGCCGGCTCTTGCGTCCCAGCGGCTGGTGTAGGACGTTATTGTTACTGACGTACCGGTGGCAGAGGTGCTGGTGGCGGACGTGCCCGTTGCTGAGGTGGTGGTCAGAGTACTGCAGGCAGCATACATGGTCGACGAGCACTGTGGTTCGAAACAATCTTATGCTTTCAGTTGCAGCTGCGACTGTCGATAAATGCTACAATGTAGTGGCTACATACTATGGTCTTAGTAGCCGCAGCCCTCTTTCCCTGTACATACCGAATGAATGATTAATGTATACAGAAAGGTACAAAGATAGATAGATAGATAAATAGATAGATAGACAGATATAGGTAGACAAATGTACACATATTACCAACATGCATACATATGCATACACACATACACTTACATACAACCATACGTGTATACAGACACACGGGCAGACACGTGCGCAAGTGTTATTTTCTGTCGCGGCCTTCCCAACAATTCTTGTAGCTACATCCTCAACAAGTTAGACTGGGGTTGTGGGGTATCTTCGACTACAAGCATATAAAAACCTACTATCACAAATGTTCCTACCCCTACAATTGTATCCGTGGGGATTAGGCCTTGGAGTTTTGGGTTGGGTTTCCCTTGCGGTAGCTATGCGTAAGATCATGATGCTGGAATTTCAGGAAGTAAGGGACCCCAATCATCCCTAGACGGTGAGATTCGCACCTTCAGCACTGTGAAATAAGAACCCGCAGCGGCCCCAAGTGCATAATACTCAGAATAGGGTTCTGGGGCCCATGATACTATAGTTATAATAAGGAACCTCCCCCCTAATAATGTAGGTACTTATCAAGGCCCCTAAAATACTTTCTGCAAGCCCATATATGGGAGTTTCCGAAAATAGGGGGTACCTTGTTTTGGGGTCCTTATAATAGGGATCCTACTATTTGGGGTACTATACTAGGGTCCCCTATTTTCGGAAGCCCCCATATATCTTGGACAGCATCAATGCTTCTGACGAGGAGGTTCGAGGGATCGGGATTTCGACTGGAGGGCCTCGGTTCAGAAAGGGGCCTGTATGCTTCGAGACACGACCTGGGTATACTACATAAACAGAGCCACGGTT